TCCTCCGAAGATTATCATGAATGAAGGAAACAACTCTACCTTTTTCCAATCACAGGATACTCTTTGGACTTTTCTGTAGTTGGAATCTTCTAATTTGAGTGAATGTACGTCAGATGGGTTTAATGACTAAATCTAAACATGGTTTGATTATTTCAAATTGTCAAAATAAATTGCACAGCCTGACAACCAGCTTCTCTTGTGAAGTTCCTACACTGACTGCATTAGCTAGGACCAGTGCTGGGACATAATAGCCAAAGTACACAACTTAAAGGAGAGATGTGATTGGGCTCACCATTTCAGGGGATTTAGTCCATGGTCAGCTGCTCCAAGGTAGAAACATCATGGCAGAAGGGAACAGTGGATGAAAAGGTTCATCAACAGTGATGACTGAAAAGGTTCATTGTTCACTGTGGAATGGGTCTGGAAGAGAATCTATGATCTTGGAAAGCCAGCTTGCTGCTTTTTAGGGAAGAAATTTTGGAGGAAAAATACCACTGACATATTGTGTATTCATTCTGTTGGATGTATCAGATGGATCTAAATCTTCTACAAGCACATGTCCTATTTCCACAATAATCATTTTGGGGCTAAAAGTCAAACATTAGTTTTGATGAAGAAAACCAACATCACAGTTCGATGAACATTGGCGATTGTGGGGCGTGTGGTGTGGGTAGTAGTAGTGCCTTTTGAACGTGTTATGTTTAATATTTTAAATAAATCCGTAAGTAGGGGTCTAAAACTAATGGAAAAAGGGCTGGGGATATGGCTCAGCAGCACAGTGCCTGTCTGGGAAGTGTGAGTTTGACTCCTGGTACCAAAAAATTAAAACTAATGGAAAAAAATTTCAGTCATGCATGGTAGCACACCCCCATGATCACAGCACTATGGAAGAGACAGTGGTTACTAAGGGCACAGGAGGTGCAGGGGAGATGTAGGAGAAAAGCACAAAGGCGTGATTTTACAAGGTGCCTAGTTCAGAGACATAACAGCAGCAGGGGAGTAAAAGACAAGAATTTGCTGGCAGAGACTTTCCAGGTGGTCTTACCATGGAACAAAGGCAACTGTGTGGGTGATGGCGATGTTAATTGCTCGATTGTAATTACTGCACTGTGTATAGTTATAACAAGCGTCATGTGGCATGACTGGAAGGCTTTCAGTAAAAATGGCAAAAGCTTTCCAAGACATCGTATGTATAATTAGTCTTCACATTCCCTTCAAGGGGGACCAGAGAATTAATGTGCACAAAAGCTTCTTGATAGGTGTTGAAAGTCTATGAGATGGAGCCAGTTCTATGCAGTTAAACTGCCTGCTCCATTGCCAAGACCGAGGGCAATCGAGAGCTGGGGAAAAGACCACAGCAAGGTGAGCCTCAACCCATCAAAAACACGTGTTCTCCTGAGAACACACTGACTCCTCTTTATCGCTGGACACTGATACACGGAATCATCGGTGGGAAACGCACAGGAAGAGGACATGCGCCGCACAACGAGTAGATCAAGTGGGCACGAAAGCCACCTCATCATAGTCAGCATACGGAGCACGTGCAGAGACGCCAAGCTCACTGGAGGATAAGTCAGTGACCACCTGTGGAAGAGAGAGACCCAGCAGATGAGCACAGGGCCTTGCAGGTGTCCAGGGCCCTGAGAGCTTCCTGGGGCTGTGCTTTTGCTTTCTCAGATTCCAAACTACACCCACCCTGAAGCGCCTCATCTAGTATCCACTGGCATATTCTCCAGGGACAAAAGTGAACACCAGGGGGCATTCACACAAATTTGTACAAGGGAACACACCTTATAGTGTTTTATATTCCTGTCCCTTAAAACAACATGAATAGATAAATAAGAAAATGGAAACGAGTTTTCCAAGCCTTCTAGATCAGAGACACTCACTGAAGTTCCACCACAGCAGACAACATGGCACCCAAACGCAGACAGATTCAGAGCGATGCAGAACTCAAGCACGGTGAGGACAACCTTCACAACTGAGATCCCCTGCTAATCAGAACCACAAGGAGAGGAAAATTAGAGACCTGAGAAGAGGCAGCTTGGCCACAGCAACTGCTGCGTGTCCTCATCCTTAAGCAGTGGACCCAACCCGCACAGGGGCAATGTCCAGTCCTGGTTTCCCGTACTGACCACTCTGGGGAAGAGGCAACAAAACTAACCACTGTGACAAAGAGACTCTCAAACAGGCAGTCCCATTTTATTGTAATTTTCACCCAAAGAAATAATTTCTACTTCTCCAAATTTTTATATAAACATCATTTAAAAAATTCTTTTGCAAAGCCTGTTTACTGAGGTGTGATTGAGACTATTTGGGAACTCCTTCACGGCACTCAGAAGTGAATCTCCATCATGTACCCATTGTATCAGTGCATGTTGGTGTGAACGTGAGGTCTCCAGAGACGGTTCTGGACGTTGCTTATGACCGTTATGAATGAAGTAGAGCCCTCGCCTTTAACCTTCAGGAAGCCTGGAATATCAACCAATGAATGAATTCACCGATGCCGTTTCATATTCATCTTAAATGGAGATTTTCCCTAGGTTCACCTGAGGTGCACAGAACTTGCCGCCTGTGAACTACTAGGCAGGGAACTTTAAGCTTTTAGAGTCAAGGGGCAGACTGTCATTCTGCAGGGAGTGGTCACTTTTACCCTGTGCTCTGTTATGTGCCTGAGATAAGGGCAAAACCTGCAAGGAACTTTTTATATGAGGGTTAAATGAGTGTCTCATCTCTGGATCTAGAAATACTTACAAATACTACATACTTAATTGTTGTCTCTGAGATCCAACTCACTAGATACAAAGTGACGGCCGGGAGTATCAGTGACAATCCTGCTATTACAACACTCACAGTGTTCATCCCCACACTGACACAAATCTGAAATAGAAGCAGAAAACTGGGGCCCTCTTCATCCTCCTTGCCTGGTTAATCATTATACATGGGGTGTTGTGTATGCTCTATAAAATATAACTAAAACTGATTTTTAAAAAAAAAGCCAGGCAAAGACAAATGACCTACGGTGCCGAGGAAGGGATTGTTTGGGACCTGAAGTCAGGGCAATGGGAAAGCTGAGAAGACTGGGTCATTTGGAAATTAAGATTGATCTATGTTTTCCCTTTTGCTAATTTTGTGAAATGACAGGGAAACTCACCACATTTTTTGTCATTTTCCTTCCAGAAACAGTGGACGGAGTTCCAGACAGGATATACTGCATAACAAGAGGAGGTAAATGAGTTAGACAGGGACTACATCACCTCTTCTTGTTCTAAGAACAAATGGATTTCAAAACTCTTCCCCCAGATATGGGCTCATAAATAATATATGAAAATATATTCAGGGTCATGTGCTTATTTCATGTAATAGAAAACCCCATGTGATTCCAGAGTACTTACACAGATTGGTCCCAAAAGTTGCAAGTAGAACACTACAGCCTCAGTTTCCAATGGAAAATAAATATCTGAATGTGTAATCTTTAGCATCATGCACAGGCAAATATACATGAGTCTGATCATGATTTGGGTTACCTACAGAAGAGAGTGTCTGTGAGGCAGAGCAATACATGTTTCTCCAAAAAATCATTTCAGGAGGTTCTGAGTAAACAGCACCCATTTACTAGGGGGATTCTGTAAAGATAGATACTCAGATTACAGTCAGTATTGCCACATCCAGGACGCTTTGGGTACCTGCACAAACGGTATACATGGTCTCTTCATTTAAAAACCCACTGTGTCTTATGGGGTTTTTCGTGACTTTGCAATACTAGAATAACAAAAACAAATTCGGGGAACATGGTACCAATTGAGTCTTAAATGGGCTTTAAACTACTCACCCCAAGAATGACAGGCTCCCCCTCAGTGAAGCTCTGGATGTGGCTCTGCTCATCCTGAGGGAAGGTCATCAGCCCAGGGTGGCCCTGGGGAACGGCTGAGCTCCTGCCCTGCAGGGCCATAGTCAGGTCTCCTGATGCTGCTGCTCTTCACGACCTGTGCATCCTTCAGTGGCTGAAGATGTGCTGCCCTAGACAGTCGGATGAAGGGATGAGTCCTTTTCATTGTACCCAGTAAACACCACCCACGACACACATGGGTGAAAGAATGATGAGTATCTGTAGGAGGAAGCCAGAAATCAATCCACACTGGCCACAGACCTCAATATTTCTGCCGAGTGACACGATGTAGAATATTCAGACTTGCTGCATTAGGGCTCCTTCATTTCCACACAGATCTAAGCAGGGTCTGGAAGAGTATTTTGGTTTTGGTGGTGGATGGATTGTTTTTCATGGACCCGTGCTTCTCAGGAAGTTTAAGGATCGACAACTACGTCCTTATTAACCCACATAACAACTCGTATGCATGCTCTCCTGCCTTGAGTTTGATTTCTCTCAGTAGCACTAATTCAGCAGCGCAAAGCGGCCATCTATCTTAGGCCTGGAAAAACTGTAGGCCCACCCTGGCTGCAGAACCACCTCAGCCGACCCTCTGCTCTTGCACTTGCTTGAGCTACTTACAGGAAATGGAGGAGACACACTCACATATCAGGAATGTCTTCCCTCTGTGTCAGGAACAGATCCTGTATAACTACTTAAAGAAACATCCATCTTGAATTTAAGCATAGGCTAATATCAGCTTTTCTATTTTCATCATGATGAAAATGGATTCCTAGTCACAAACACTTCTTTTTGAGAGTAAAGTTACAGGAAACTTGAAGCTGCCCTTTGTAGTTCAAGCCCGTTTCACTCCTAGAGTTCCTGATAACAATTTTCCTGATTATAGGTATGGGGACAGAGTCAACTTCATTCAGAAAATTTATTAAAATAAGATTGTTGTTTTCCCATCTGCAAAACATGTTTTCCTCCCCTGAAAATGTCTACACTGAGCTATAAAAATGTCTTTTTTGTTGTCCACGCCTTCTCCTTATAATTAGCTTGAGAGAACTGTTCTTACTCTCAGAGTTTGCTGTATCTCCAGCACACTAATATCCACACACACATGAAATACACTGTTTTAAAATCATTTTCTGTCTAGTTTGTCATAGTTAGCTCATATCAGAAGTATAAACACCATGTCTTTTTGGATAACATCTCCACACAGAACAAGTGGCTATTATCAAGGAAACAGCTAGTAACAGATGCTGTTGGGGTGCGGTGAAAAAGAAACACTTCTTCACTGTTAGTGGGAGTGTAGACTGCTGCAACCACTGTGGAAATCAGTGTGAAGGTTCCTCAAATATTAAGACTACGGGTTCCAGTTGACTCAGCTATTCCACTTTGGGAAGAATTAAAAGCATCGTACTCAGAGATACATGCATAACCATGTTTATAGCAGCACAGTTTGTAATAGTTAAATCTTGGAAGCAACCCAAATGTCCTTCAACCAATGAATGGATAGAAAAGATGAGTTTTTTTAATATAATGATGTATTACTCAGCCATAAAGAAGGATAACGCTGAGACATGTATAGCTGAATGGATGGACCTTGAGACCAGAAGCATAAGTGAAATAAATTGGACACATATGTGCAAATTTCTCATTACATCTCTGGTGTAAAAAATTGAAATTATAAAAAGCAACCAAAATATACAATAGGTATTGTAAAATAGGAAGAAACTATTCAAAAGGAAAAGGGAATCTGGGAGTGAGAGGAAGGAAAAGAAGGAAGGAAAAGAAAAAGTAAAAAAGAGGGATAAAATGAAAACAAGTTTTGTGAACAGAGAGGGAAAAGAGGTTTGAAAGAAGGGGACAGGAATAAGGGGAGAAAGTAATCAAGACACATTGTGTACAAATACAAATCCCGTAAAATGAATGTGGTCATTATATATACCTAAATTGCACCAATAGACTTAAATAAAAACTTAGGAAAAGAAAACTGTAGAAGTAAAAAAGTTTAGAAAAAAAAAGGCACTGGAAAAGAAGTTTGCTATATAAGGCTAGGCCCGCAAAAGTATGACTCATAAAACAAAAACTTGATAAACTAGAATTTATCAGATTTTTAAAAAGTATTTGTTTGGTGAAATCTAGTTAAGTGAATGAAAAGTCAATAGACAACTTGGCAAAAATACTTCTAAACTGTATATATGAGAAAGGATTAGTATTTAGAATATATAAAGAATTGTCAAAATTCAACAGTAGAAATGCAAACAAGCCAGTAGGAAAATGTGCAAAAGATATGGAAAAACATTTACTGAAAAGGATGTACAGATGGCAAATAAACACATGGAAAGGTGTTTAACATTATTGACCATCAAGGAAGCAGAAATTAAAATCACCATGAGATGTTATCACATACCTACCAGGTGGCTAAGAAAGAAGTGATCACATCACTGAATGCTGGCAAGGATGCAGAGAAACTGTATCACTGATGGAAACAGGAAATCATACAGCCACTCAGGAAAAGTGTGTGGTGTTTTCTTTAAAAAAAAATCAAGCATGCAACTACTATATGATCCAGCAATTGCACTCCTGGGAATTCATCCCAAAGAAGTGACTTAGGTTCACATGAAAACTGGTTCATAAATACTTAAAATAGCTTTACTTACAATGGCTCCAAACTAGAAACAACCCAAGTATCTTTCAAAGGTGAATGGCTAACCACAGTGTAGTATATCCTTTCCATGGAATATTACCTAACAACAGAAACAATTGTTAATACCAGTACAAACACCAACATGGGAAAATCCAGGGAATTTTGCTGAGTGAGAAAAGCCAGTCTTCGAAGGTTACGTACTACTGTACATCACTGCACTTATGGAGACTAGGTAAGGAGGGTGGTGGGGAGGAAACTTGTGTGGCAATGTGAGGGATCCTTGTGGTGACGGTAATGCTCTGCACCCTGACTCCATTAATGACAATACTATGGTCATGAAGCTGTGCTATTCTTTGGTAGAATGTTGTCATCGGGTAAACTAGGGAAATGTATGGAAGATAAATCTTTATTGTTTCTTACAACTACATGTGAATATATATTCATCTCAAAAAAAGATTAATGAAAATATATTCTAAATATATATCAATAAATTTGGGTATGGCAAAGCCAAGGAAATTTGTCTCCTTGTCCTTGAGACACTTCCAATTGTTTTCCTTTTGTATGCTGGAACAAAATATGATTTTTAGACAGTTTTTACATACTTGTGCAGGGACTGGCCACTTTAAGGTAAAGTGTCCATAAGAAGCAATACATTTACCAATTCAACTAGAATTGATGTTTTTTTTTTTAATCACTTCAAGAGTGACAAAGCTCTTTTTTTTTTTTTTTTTTCCAGTACTGGGAGTTGAACTCATGACCTTGCACTTGCCAAGCAGGTGCTGTGCTGCTGAACTAAATCCCCAGCCCCAGTTCAAGAGTTTGTAACCCTGCACTTACAACTGGAAAGCAGGGCACATTTTTAAAAAAATTATGCCATATGAAGTGATAATTTTCTCAAACATGTAGTGCTATAAATACCTTCCTGATTACTCTGCTCATATAATGTCTTCTACTAGGGCAACTCAAGAACAAGTTGTATGAGCCTCAGGTTTTGGCATGATCTGGTCACAGCCTCTCAGAGTTTCAGGAAAATCCATGAATGTAAAATCAGAGCAGATATACACAGCTCTGTCCCCAAACCTCATTCAGTGTTACCTGTACGTGCACTCACTCCAGGGATGTCATTGCTCTGTGGTGTATTCAGGAACCTTTCCCAAGAAGTTCTGCCAGCACAGCAGGTGATCTGCTCCTCAACTGGACCCCACAGAGAGGGAACTGGCACTCCTTGCTTGCAGGTTTTGCTCCCTAAGGCAGACCACCCTGCTTCACCGAGAGAGAAGGAGGCATCACTACCTTCAGCTCTGTGTTGCCTGTGTTCTTGCAGACGGGGTTGTGTGATGGGGTAACAATGTACACGATGCCGATGCAGATCATCCTTTATCTCTGCTCTTCACATGGTCTCAGTGGTGACGGTCACAGCCCAGTGCATCCCCTTCTCATTCAGGGGCCCGTTCACTTCCTTTGGCACTAAAGAGTTCCAAGTCCTAACTAAAGAAATAGCTGATTCTGCCTAGTGAAATATTTCTCCTGTATGGCCGCATAACTGTACACAGCTCCTGTGGGTGGACAGCTAGGCTGAATCCATGTCCACAGCTGAGGATAAGGGAGAGAGATTAGCGTGCTAGAGACACAGCACAAGGCTTAAGCCTTCCTGACACTCCCCTGGTGAGCTGAGTGAGATAAATGTCAGGAAGCAAGGGGCTGGCATGGGACTCTGGAGGTGTTGGTGTCGCAAACCCCAATCTGAGAGGGTCACTCACACTGAGGATTGGGAATAAGTCTCCATGGAACAAAGAGGATGACAACTGCTGTGTGCTCTCTGGGAAGATGCAAAGGTAGGAAGAACTGCCTGCCCCTCAGCCCTTGCTTTGTCTCCGCGAATGTGATCAGACAGGGGATGCGGAGGCCTGGTCTGTGGGGAGGGGACCAGGTCAAGTGAGCTGGAGGAAACCGAGGAATGGAAATCACCTTGCCTGTCACCTTGCTGCATGTGAGTCTTCTGTTCATCTGGAACCGAAGGGGAAAGCGCCCAGTCTTACGCAGGAGACTGTCTGCTTCAGGATCAGTAACGCTGTGTGCACACTGATGAGACGAGGTGAAACCATCTCAGTTTCATTTGCAGCGACACCGTGGGAGATGTGGGAATGAGCATAAAGGAAAAACCCAGCCTGCGCTATGCAAACAGGGAGAAGTTAAATTGACCCAGTCCCAGAGCCCACAACTCCTTGTGTTGAGGTGATGGCCCTGAGTGTGGGAGACCTTTGAAAACGGACGTACACTGAGCAGGGCTCTTTCCTGATCTCCCAGCAACGGCTGGACGCCAGGGGCAGACGCAGCCCGGGGACTGGCCATCAACTCTCCAGAGAGTGAGAGCGTTCTGCACCCAGACCAGCTGCAGAAGACTCCACTGCCCTTCCTGAAGGGGCAGCGCCAGGCCTTTGGGGTGAGTGGGCCTAAGACGCCAGCACAGGCCTGGGGGATGGGACTGGTATGACCAGAAAACTGGGGTCTGCAGCAGGACAGCAAACATCTCATGTTCTTTCAGGTGATTTTAAAGAGTTCATTCGATTTTTTCAGCTTCATG